CTTTTCATGGAAGAAAGCTTCTCTTAGCTCCCCCCACTTTGAAAGAAACAATTTTTATTCTTGCATTTTCACATTTGGATACTCTGCTGCTCACCCTGTGGTGATATATTCTCTACTACTCTGCAAGAGAGGAGGAGCTGTCGATATCCTCCTCAAACTTGAGCTATACTGATGCTCTGCCCTAATTTCCAACATTGTTAGACAGCGCTGGCATAAAACCATCAGTTTGCAGGCTCAGATATGAACTGCAAAGCCTGAAGCAAGTATATATGGCAAGAGGACAAGGCACAGCTTGCTGAGACACTGATCCACATCTCATTGAGATTCTCCACTGACTTTGGCACTTGCTGGCCCAGCCCTTAATCCTATAATAATCCCATCCTGCAACAAATGCTGCAGAGAATGTTCTAGGTGTTTCTAAAGGTAAGCTATTAAACTACTGAGATATTAGCAAAAAGATTTGTACAATAAGTTTCGCAGTAGCCTCCCTGAATATAATCTGTAACCTTGATTATAGCTGTTGGCTTATCACTGGAAACTAGAAGAGGAGAAAAAGGTCAAAGGACAGAATTTTAAAAACCTCTCTCACCCACCCCCCCAGCTCCTCGTGCCCTATGCTTGCCCTGCTGCCCCAATGCACCTGCTAGCTGTGGTGCTGCCACCCATTCACCATATCCTACTAAAGCACAACAATTTCAGAGTAACCAGGATTTTAGCTCTTTTTACCCTTCTTACAAAGCATTAAGATTCACAGACATTTAGTGCCTTAGAAATCCTAGTAAGGAAAAGAAGAAGGAGAAGGAAAGAAATCAGTTTAGCAAGTGTATTTAAAGTCAAATGGAAATGAAAAAGTGAGCTTATGAAGCAAACAGAGGATATTTCACAGAAGCAGCCCACACACAAGCAGGAAGAGCATGCCACCAAATGCTCCATTACAAAGCAAAGAAGTTGAAAATAACATGAGAAACTCTTTGAGAAAATAAAACTAGTTGAAGAGAAACTAAGCATGTGCAATCTACAGAAGCACAGTTGGAAAATACATTGCATTAAGAGTAAGAATAAGTGTTTCTACCTGGAAAGTAGTAATTAATAACAGACACACTTTTTTCAAGTGCAGTCCTCCCCTACAAGCTTCCCTATGTCCTGTACCAACTATTGCCTTTGAAACAGAAGTGTTTGCGTGTCTTTGCTTGTTGTAGAAGCACACAGACCTCAGTGAGTATCATCTTTTCAACATAGCTCCCATACCCAATGCCAGAAGACACTGAGCAATTGTTAAATAGCCATATCTGCCTGTGAGGCAGGCCAACTTCTGCCATTCACACAAGCTGCTACTGAAGCAGTGCCCTGTATGTGCTCCCAGCACAAACACGCTACACTGCAATCAGCACCGCCCAAAGCCAGCATATGCAGCAACACAAGTCACCTTGCTTCAATAGGGCTTCACCTGGTACAGTTGCAATACAGCTGGGAGCAAAGTTTTCAGCAGAGAAACACTAATTAGGATTACAAAAACACTCATTACGATGACAAAGTTTATGAGTATTATAATGCTGAAACTTTCCACTGCCTCTGCAGTGCATAGCTTGTCATTACTAGAGGCAACATTTCATCTTCACAAAGGCTTATAAAGAGTACTACTACTCAGCATAAAGGCAAAGGGTCATCTTTATTTAGTTGGATTTTAAAACAGATTAAATGCCTTGTCACAAAGCAGTAAGAGTACACAGGGAAATTCTACTGAAGAACTTGTGAACAATTTCGAAATACTTTGCTAGTGTTTTTAGGTTTTTACTGTTGAGATAACCTAGTGCAGGCCTGGCAGATAGGGAATTTCTTGCCCCCCCTTTGGATTTACTCACATTCAGAAAAAGGAAAACATCCACAAACATTTTCAAGGAAACATTCAGAGGATCAGCTGGCTCTGAAATTCACAATATTTTTCACCCAGTATCACATCAGTAGGGTGCTAATTCTAACTCACCTGTGACTTCTTCAGGTATAACAAGAAAGCTTGAATGCCCACTCTAAAAATTTCAAATTCACTGAGTGATGTTACTTTGAAGCTTCTTTGTCTTTTTAGCACTGGCTTGGACATCAGATTTCTTGTGCATTTATTTGCAAGTGCAAAAAATTAAAAGGTTGCTCTTCTAAAGCACCCCCCCACCTTACTCAGCAGTCCTCCCTCTACTCTTAAAGCAGCTGTAAACAAAAGGGTCCTTCTATAATACTGCAACGGTTACCTATTCTCTTGTGCAGCACTATGACAGCTAAGAGCCCACTTTCTTCTTTGATGTGCAGTATTTTATGTACCTGAAAATAATTTGTTAATAATTCTCCTGTAAATAAGTACTTCACAGCTATCAGAAGGAGACTACTGACTGACCTTTCTACAAAATCTAAGCTTCTCACACAGCTGCAGGATGAGCTTTCAAAACACTCCCCAGGTTACATGCTTTTGAAATACCCCTCAGATGTGCTCAGACTATTGGACGGAATTCTCTGCTTCCCTTTCTTTACCAACACATCCAAGTTTGGATATTTGTAACCCATGGATATGTTAAGTTTGTCCCAGTTGCCTAGTAGATGCTACACGTCATTTTAATGCTGGCATGTCAGGCTTCAGTGTTCTTTATTAAGGAGAACCACAAGTTCTATTCATTCGCAAAGACAGTATTTCAATGGTTTGTATTTAAAATTTTCAATGAAACCACAAGGAGTAGAAACTGAATTTTAAAAGGCTATACTTTTCTGTTGAGGCCAATCTGCTAGGGACAATACACCAGCCATAGCTGATGTGCACTAAACCTCCAGACTATCTCTTTGACTAACTAAAGAATACTGTTGATTTTGAGGAAGTGGCATGCAATTCTTAAACAATTGGACAATGATCTTCACACAGGTTAAAATCTGAGTTCACCTTCCATTCTTCTTCCATCAGAACAGAATGGGCCAGAAGATGGGGAGAGTACAGTATGAAGCAAGAGACTCAAGGGAAGGGCCCCAGTTTCCAGAACATACCAATTGCCTGCCCATGAAAAAATATCTTCCACAACTGAAGCTACAGAGATTAGGGGCTCGGGGGCAGAGGAAGAAACAGGACTGGAGGAACTAATACAATCAAAACAATTGACTCATGACAAACCATGTGTCAATTTTTAACAGTATTATCACCAGTGTCTACACCATCTCAAACACAGACTTGGGCAGATTGGTTCTATTCTTTAGTGTCTATCTGGAAGACTGAAGGTACTCGTGCTTCCATACTTCATGGAAGTATTCTGAGACCTGTACTGTAAACAATAATAATTATTTCCAGCTTCACTTTTAATTGGGGAAGTGGTAAGAGTGCTGAAGAAAGAGTTTGAAAGTCTTAAATGCAATGGTAAAATTACAACATACAGACTGCGAAAATTCTGTCTTAATTCGTTGTGGCATAATTAGATGTTACAGCTTTAAACCCTATGAATGTTGACATATTGCCAGATTTATTGCAACACTGAAAAAACCAGATAACATGGAAATTTTCTATTCTGTTTTACTTACACTGCCTTATGTTTAAGCTGCCTCTTTAGAAAAGAGGTATGCTAAATTTGTCATTGAAACAGGTATGGTTTAACTTCCGTGATTCTCTGTTTACCCACATAAGTCACTTTAAGAAGTGGCTTTTGGCACTGTGCCATAGACACCAAGTCCAAGTAAATCCTTATTACACAGATCACTGACCTGAATCTACTGATACTCTTGCAATCTTGCCTGTCAATCCAGCTGTTAGGCAAGCTCATTAAATCCCAGACATGAAACATATAGCATTGTACTTAAGAGTCACACAGCTATCAAAATAGCCATTTAAAAACTTCTACCATTACCTTTCCTCAAAAGCAATGAAAAACTATTTCTGTTTCTCCAAGACTTAATACCAAAACTAAAATCAAAACGATGTTCCTTTAAAGTGGGGGAAAAAAAGCCATACATACACAAAAGGGCAACTTAACTAGCTGACTCTTACTACTTAAACCCATTATACCATTTAATTTTTTCCAATGGTTTGTTTTTAAAAAAACTGTTTCAAAAATTGATATGCAACAGGGCAAAACTGAACTAATTTTAAGACAGATTTAAACAACTGTAAACCTTATATCACAACCTTATGAACACATTACCTGTAACATAATCATTATTTATCAAAACATTCTCACAATGGTATTTCTAAATAAAAATCACCACACTGATTTTTATGCAGCTATGACACCACTAGGTTTGCCACTTGTCAGAGATTTAAAAATGTTCAAATAGATATTCCCTTCACAAACTTGAGCTTCCAAAAACTTAACTTGAAAGTTTCACAAACACATCTTAGATTCTGCATGTATTAGAGAAACCATGATTTAAAAGCATGGATTTTCCTTGTGGATTTTTTTTTTTTAAATTTTAGATCAGATGACAATGCTGGATTACTCTGCATGGAGTTTAATAATCCACAGCTGCATCAGGATGTAGCAGTACACATTTCAAACAGCTGTTCCTTTTATTAACAGAAAGGCAGAAACTACATTTGGTTGGAGGAGCTGGTTGGTTGCTTTAAACCCTCTCCTTTTTTCAGGAAGAGGCTACCTCCAGCAGCTCAAAAAGCCTGTAGACAAGGGCTAAAAAACACAGCTTCCTGGGTCTAACTTTGTTTTGTACGTCACAAGCAAAATTAAACAAAACCCAGCCTAATGAGGTGGCAAGCCCAGAAGTCACATGTTTCAGCAGG